AGTTTTTGCAACTCATTTATGATGATAAAATATCTTTTAATATATAGCGATCAGACTCAGAAAATAGGCCTTTTTTCTGTAGAAAATATATTAGTTAAGAAAATGGGTTTCAGAAAGTAAAACCAGAGAAAATAGAATATACAGCAAGCAGAACAGATTTAATAGTATCAATAACCTGTGCATATCCGTACTTATTTTTTATTTTTCTAGTTTCATTTGATGAAAAGAACTGTCTTTGGAATGCAAAGTACTTTGCAGGCAAGTCCCAGTATTAACCAGGGTAAATTTCAGAGGTCTCTGGCTTTTCTAAGGAGTTTATTTTCAGTGGGGGTTTTTGCTTTTCTTGTGTGTGGTTGTGTGTTTTTTCGTTTGTTTTTTTTGTTTGTTTTTAAGGGGCTGGGGGTGTGAAGAAAAGAAAATACAGCACTACTTGAAATTTTTTAGTTGCAGTTATATTTGCAAGACAGGCTTGCTCTGTGTTAAAGTATTTTGGTCAATTGAAGCATGTGAGTTCTGTTTATGTAAACTCAGAATGTCTTCCAGCTTCAGTAGCAGATATATTATTTTTGTCTTCCCTAAGTGAGAGTTCTAATAGCAGGATTTTAGTATAAAAACTGGGTTTTTTTCAGCCTCCATGGCCTTGAGAGGTAGGCTTTATCTGGCATGCTCTGTACATGTTGATTCTGACCATGTCTTTTTTTGTGGCAGTCATTTTGCCCTGTCTGACTAGTACTGCTCCCTGTGCTTACCATTAGCTTGCTGGCTACTGGTAGATTTGTCTTCCATGGCAGTTGTTTGAAAACATACGTTTTTGGGATATTTCGCGCTGCAAGAAAACAGGCTTGATGGCAAGACAGTCTGGTATAATTCCCTACAAATATGTATGTAAATATTTTAAATGTATATTTAAAAAACTTCCAGTTTCAGTGTGAATGAAAAAGGGAAAAAAAAATAGCAGCCATGAAAGCAGAGTTGCTGTTGGTTAAAATAAAAATCTCAAGCCTCAGATGTGAAGTTACTGTGTGTTTAACATATGGGAATTTCTTTCAGATGTGATGTTATCAAAGTGACAGTGAAAGTGCTCAGCACTGGCATGTTGTAATGGTGACTATGCATTTTTTCTTAGTACATTTTTAAGTTAGAGTAAGGATTGGAGGTTGATTTTAGTGGCTGCCTTCTTTACTGTCCGTTAGGGATTAATGGGATAAAAGGGAAAACAATTTACAGTGAATTCACTTTACTGCAGGTTCTGGTGCAGTTGATCCATGCATTACTGTACTGAGTTTAATTTGATTTCTTCAGTTCTATTTAAAGATGGCTGTTCAGAGCATATAGAAATTCATGCTAGCAATAAATAAGGGGTATACTCACTTTCCACTGAAATACATGCATTGGTTTAAGTACCAGAATCTTCAAGAAGGTGCAAGAAGAGCTATGTGACAGTGCATACAAAGTATTTGGCTAGCATCATTTACTTTTTTTTAATTCCCTCTTTCCATTATTAGGTAAATGATGGAGAGTAAATATGATGGTTAGGTGACTTGCTACTGCGGTATGAAGTTCCTGATATTTGCATGAAAATGACAAAGGATTCCTGTAAGAGAGAAGACAAACAAGGGAGGTGGGACAGGCACTGGCCTCACTTTAATGAGGGGGATTTTTATTTATTTGCTTATTTTTTGAAACAGATGGCATTTTTAGATTTCTCTTACCCCAAAGCAGCGAATTTAGGATCACAGAAGTATGTGTATGTCGATAAATGGGAATGAGACACTCCTTTCTGGAAGAACCAGGAGCCGGTTTTGACTGTGCATCGGATACAGATAGAAGAGGTCAAGGAGCACAGAGGGCTTTGTCTGGTGTCGCTAGTGAAGCGTTTGGACAAGAAACATCACGAGTGCTTGATGTGCGATCTTCAGGGGTTGCAGTAAGGGAAGAAGCCTCAAGCCTGGAAGTCAGCAAAGCAAACCCCATATCTAGAAGTTTCCTCCTCCACATGAGAAGAACTGGGACTGAGCCTGTTCATAAAAGATGATGACAACATCTGGATTCTGTGACCTTGGTCATAATCCCTTTGTTTTCTTGCAGAAGCTCTGAGGTCCAGTCACCTGTGCTAGCAGAATGGTATTAGCATTGAGCATTAAGAGCACAGTACCAGAACGACTAATTCCCCTTTTCACACACCCCCACGCAGGTTATTACCTAAATAGCATCAGTAAAAAATTCCTCTGAATCCTGTTAGAAGGTCTGACCAAAGTTATTGCTGACTTGGAGAGGCTGAGCATCTTGGTGTTCTTCTAATGCATGTAAATCAGTATTCAGGAAGATTATGTTCTTACGAGTTGTCTGTAGTCTAATAGGCACTCCCAGTAGTGCATAACAGACACGTCTGAACATGCGGTCTGAATGAAGTGGTGGCAGCTCGTTTCTGTAGCCGTTGTTTTGAGCAAAAGAAAATAGCTTTGTGGTAGTGCTCGCCATTCTGTGCAGTAGCTTTGCGATTACAGGATTTATCCAGGAAGTAGGAGTCTGGGTTCCATGTAATTCTGTTACGCTTCAGCACGTGCCAGAGCTTACATGAGAGGTGAACACTGCGGGCTATGCTCTGCCCTTCCACACGAGCTTTGCCGGTGAGTGGCAGAATTTCATAGGACTGAAAATATGGATCGGTGGAGAAGGGGAGTCAGTGGCTCAGTGAGAAGGAAGTCACCTAGGAGGGAGGCAAATACATGTCACATAAGGCATGTCTTGGTTTTTTCTGGGGGGAAAGGAAAAAATGATGTGTAACTTCTTGCAGTCTGTTTAATTTATCTTGGTGTTGGTAGTGTTATTATAGTGAGTGAAGCTTTCTGGTTTGGAACTCTACCTGTCCGGAGAAATTTCCAATGAAGAAGCTGCCTGTTTCCCCTGTACAGGTGGGAGGACAGAGGGGGTAATGTTCCACAGACAATGTGAAAACACACAGGGAGATTCCACAGGATCCAGCATATACCAGCTTGAAGTTTAACTAGTCAACACTCCCTGCTCTCCTCTGTTCCTCTCCAACTTGAGGCCTTTTTTTTTTTTTTCAATTGTTGTTGTTGGTCTTTTAAATACAGAAGAACTAATGCTAATTTACCCTCTGCTTTGCTACCACTGGCAGGCAAGTGTGTTTAAAAAGTATGTTTAAATTAAGACTTGTACATCTTCTGCCTTTACCTTTCTATCCATCCTTTGTTCAAAATAAGCATAATATTAAAAGTTTTAAAAATGGTTTGGAAGTGGCTTTTTTGCATCACCTAGTAAAATGTTAAAGAGAGATTTTGTTACTTTAGCATGCAGAAGTGTTCCACCACAACTGTGGGTTGCTGGTGTATGCATTTATATCTCTTCTTTTTCTCCCTGTTCTTTCTCACTGTTTTTTTTTGCAGGGGTTCTTGTGCGTTTTCTTATCTGCTTGTCTTTTCTCCTTGACCTGGAGCATTTGCACATTAGCGTTTACTGAAATTCTTTGTGAATTTTGACCAAAACAAATTCGGATCTTGCAGTTCAAGATAGTTTAACTCTGTAGCTGGCTCCACTTGTACAGCAGTTCAGTACACTATAATATGTAGATACTTTTGGCACTGGCAGACTGTTCATCATCTGTCTGACAGCAGGTCAACGCTGCAAGTAAAACAGCACTTGGCTACTTGAATTAAAGTATCTAATATTTTCACCCCAGTAAGACCTTCAGCTGGTTTGGATAATCCAGACCTTATAATTTGTGAAATTGTATATATTGTGGTGGACACAGCTATTCTCTTGTAACTGTTCATTTTCTTTAAAGGAAGTCAAGCTAGTTTACACTTGAAGGGTACTTGGACAAATCTGGGACACCTGTTAACTTGAGTCAAGCTGGAATTCTTGTGGAAAGCTGAGCGTTAGTTTCCTGGCTGCTGGGAAAAGATTCTGCTTTCAGGTAAGTCTGGAGATAAGCTTGCTTCATACTTCATTTGCTTGAGGCTTTTAGCAATTGCAGAGTGGAATTTACCAGTAATAAAAACCTGATTATTTTACATGCTGAATAACAAGGATTTTTGAGAAGTCTTACAAATTTCTCTTGGGGGGCAGGGGGACTGTGTGTGCGTGCTTCACTGAATTTCTTGCCTGCGTTTGCCAAGAGAACAAGTGCTTTATTGTCTTTGTTCTCAACACCCAGATCTTTGAACAGCTTTATTCCCCCTTTCTTCTGCCTTCTACCTGAAAACTAACCACCGTGCTCTTTGAGGACACTGGGTTTTTTTCACAGTGGGCATATTTGTCATTCATATTAGATCTCGAATAGAGGTACTGAGGTTCAGTTAAATGGTCCTGTAGACTGCAACCTTAATTGCTTGGAGGCACCGTCTGAGGAAGCAGTGTACCCTGAGGACGCTCTGTCCTTAAAAGGATAGGAAAATTGAGTCCTTAGCACGATATGGTTTCTGTCCAAGAAACGTATTCAGGTCTTACTTAAATAAGGACACCAAACACTCCATGCTTCTCACTGTGCCTCTAGTCCTAGTTATCCTATAGATACATGAAATGGCAGTCAGAAAGAAGTGTGTTACGGCATCTCACAACATTGTCAAATAAGTTAAAAGAAGTGTATTTACTGGCTTCAGCTAAAGCTGTGTTTGAGAAAATTCAATCTTGAACATGAAAATACTGTCTATGAAGTAACTGATGTAAATTTCTGGTTTCCTGTAATTGGACTCTGAACTTGGTGGGGCTGAATTATAATGCAGAACCATACTCCATACTTAGAATGCAATAGTTTATTTTAAAAGCTGGGTCAAATGGAATGAAGAGAGAAGAGTTTGTGACAGTGTGGAGAAGTGCAACCAACGCGATCTAATTTATTTAACATTTCTAGTGTAGAAACATCCAATGTGGTGGTAGCATTAAATTATTAAAGAAGAAAAGATGTTGATAATATGTAGTTGTTTAATATCTTCCAGATTATCAGAGATGGTCATTTGAAGAATCAGGTTTCCGATATGAACAAAGTAAAAACATCATCTGAAAAAAGGTAAATTTAAAACTACAGTGACTTCTCAACATCAAGCTATTTGAGATTTGTGAAAAAGCAGTCTTTATCTTAATAATAAAAGAAATAAAATACACATTATGGGTTCCTAGTAAGAATGTGTAAGTTGATGTGCTGAAACACTGAGGGAGTCAATATTGATTAACATCAAGTAGTTTCACATTTAAATACATTATTTTTTGAATTAAGTTTTCATTTCCTTAGATATGTTCAAATATAATATATATGTTAAATTTAATTGAAACAATTATAATTTCATGCAAATACTGGCAAAACATAAAATGATTTCTACTGAAGGAATTAAAGGACAAGTGTATAGTACTGTGTAAAAAGCCATGAATTTGTCACAAGATGTATATCATTCTCCAGCAGTCCTGCAATCCAGCACAGAGCTAGGACAAACAAAAGTGAGATTACAGAAGATCAGAAGAGGTGAAAAGTTGTTTGTTATTTTCATGATAACTTATTTTAGCAAATATTTGAAAAAGTTATGAGTTTATCTGTGGAAGACAACATGTCTGTTAAGCATCAGGAAACTATTGAAAGGCTTTCAGTCTTACTCTTGTTAAGATAGCACATGTTAAACCACCTCATTAAATCAAACCATCTAATCAGATTTTACAAAAAATTCGAAAGGTAGCAAAATAGGGAGTTTTGACTTCAGTCTTAGTTCTCTGAAATATCAGTTATTTCTTAAAGAAGTGGATGAATTTGCATGAAGGACATGCTCTACTGTGGATTAATTTTATATCTTGGGGTGCATTTAAATTAAAATTTTAAATCTTTGTATGTAGAATCATGTTTGCTTTTGCTGACTTTAACAGTGGAACGGCTTGATATCAGAGACTGGTTTTTCCTGTTTGTGTGAGAGATGAATCAAAAGGAATAGTAAAGAAACTATTACCTTTTCTACTTACGGGTTATTAGTTCCTTAGGCATTATGATAAGCAAATGTCAGCAATGGATATTCTTGGAAATGCTGCTAATTATAATACATAAAGTATACTATCACAAATAATGTTAGCTTTTTGCAGAGTGGCTACTTTAGTACATTTCTTCTTCTTTAGTTATTGAGTTAAAGTTTCCGTCCATGCAATTCAAAACAGTTGCTCCCTAACTCATGAATAAATTACGGTGAATTTATTGTATGGAGATAGTTGTGAACTGATCAGAAGTGTTGGCTCTTTAAAGATTATTTGGTAACTGTGGAGGTGGTTGAGAAGAAAAAAGTTTGGAAATTATTTGCATTGGAATAAAATGAAGACAAACTCATGAGAAGCCTGCCTACTTCAAAATACTTTTTCTAAGGCTTATTGAAACACAGAAGACCTGTTTTCTTTGGGGGAAGAAGACACTCCCTGATAAGTCAGTGTGCTGGCTGACTGCAAACCGCAGTGTCGGAGGAAGTAGGTGCAATTGGCAAACTGAAGGTTTCTGATGACTTCCTTCATTTGACTGTTATCTCTTGGAAGGGTTCTTGCAAGATGAATAGTCAAAATCTATTCTAAGACAACTGAATTTTTATAAGCTGCCATAACAGTGGTGACAGGACAAGGGGCAATGGGCACAAACTGAGGCACAGGAAGTTCCGTCTGAACATGAGGAAGAACTTCTTCCCTCTGAGGGTGACGGAGCACTGGAACAGGCTGCCCAGGGAGGTTGTGGAGTCTGCTTCTCGGGAGATATTCAAGACCCGCCTGGACAAGGTCCTCTACAACCTACTGTAGGTGACCCTGCTTCGGCAGGAGGGTTGGACTAGATGACCCACAGAGGTCCCTTCCAACCCCTAATATTCTGTGATTATGTGATTCTGTGAACAGCCATTAGAGTTATCTTTCTCATCTTGAGCAGACACTTAGAAAGGTGTAATGAAATGTTTTAGCATTTGCATAGCGAAAGTAGCATGCAGTGAGTAATAGAGAGTTGTGAATCTAGCACTTCTTCATACTCAGAGTGCTTAAGCCTTTTGGGAGTTGGTGGGATTGGAAAAGACATCCCTGCAGTGAGGGAGCTTTCTTTGAGAAGATGTTTTCTTGTTGAGGGACATCTCTTTCAAACATGAAACCTTGCAGTCCTCTGTTCCTTACTGTATGGGTAGTTGCTTCCTCTATATTTGCACATAGCTCTCCTAACCAGAGAAAGAGGAAACCCACAAAGCTTTCTGGTTAGCTGGAGTCAACGCTGTATGCTTTGGCAACAGTTCAGATGATGGCAAGCTTTTTTGTGCTTCCTTTCCTCAAGTAAGATGGTAGTGTGAGGGGTGTTTTCAGTTGCAGCATTTCAACGTGGGATGGAGAAACGGTTTCCTGCCTATGGAGACATGCAGTATATGGGATCAAATAAGCCTGGTAAACTTCACTTTAGGATGTTTAAAGAAAGTCTAAATCCATCCCAGAATGATAATTACCAGTTGTCTTCAGAACTCATGAGACTTGGGTTAAGTAGTTGTCGTAGTTTAACTTGGCAGCTGGCAACTAAGCACTAGACAGTTGCTCTATCACCTCTCCCCCTACAGCAGGATGGGGAGGAGAAGGGAAAACTCGTGGGATGAGACAAAGCCAGTTTCGTAAGTCAACAAAGGAAATACTAGTACTAATACTGATAATAGTAATGGCAATAATAATAATAATGAATATGCAAACCAAACTGTATACAATACAATTTTTCTCACCATCTGACAACCAATTCACAGCCCCAAAAAGGTTTGAACTCCCAGCTGAGAGTGGATTTGAAAAAACTCATGGAAACCGAAAACCCGATAGCCTTCTTCCCCCTGGCCAAACCCATTCAGAAACCGAGTGTGGTGTCTATGGTATGGAATATTTCCGTTGGCCAGCTTAGCTATCTGTCTGGCTGTGTTCCTTCCCAGCTCCTGCACACCTGCTCATTAGCTGAATATGAGAAACTGGAAAAAGGCTTTGATTTATGGCAGCAACTGAAAAAGTCAATGTTACCAACATTCTTCTACTACATCCAAAACACAGCAGGGAGGAAAATTATCCCAGCCAAAACCAGGACAGTAGTGAAAGACAGAGATGGCAAACCTAGTGGTTGTGTCTGTGGGAGTCAGTGCAGAAACTGAGTAGCTGCTATGTTCTCTTCTTTGCATGGAAGGAACCTGGAAGAACTAACCGAATGAGTGAGGCTGCAAACAGCTGAAGGGTGTTTTGAGTTACTCTTGAAAAAACATCTGATTTTTCATGTGTGACAGGGTTACAGGTCCCATGAGCAGGGAGTTGGTATTAAAATACCACATACCCATTTAAAGCTGTACTAAAATAACCATTGCATATGATTGCCATCAGGAATTTAAGGCAAGTGTTCCATTCAGATGCTCTGGAGTAGAGCACTGACTGGGTACCAGAGCAGTGGTGGTGAATTGCTGTCAGAAGGCGATGGTGCACAGTTTGTTTCTGGATGTGCATTTTCTTTCTGGTTACAGTTAATGACTGAAAATATTTTGAGCTTTGAGTAGATCTGAAAGAGAAGAAAGGGTGCTTGTTAAAATTGCAATCACCTTGAAACTGGAAAGATCTGCAAAAGTATTAGAGGACCAAATGACTTCAAAACACTGTTGTGAAATGCTGAAAATGTTTAAGAGTGTTTGATGGAAATATGTGGAAGGTACCATGCTAGAGAGGTATACCACAGAAATGGGTAAACGACAGTCATATTTGTAGTGAGGAGAGCTAGAAATAGTTAGATTAAACTGCAGAGAGAAAAATTTTCAGATGAAGGGATACAAGGTCTTAGAATGAAGTTGCCTTTGATTGTTGAATCCCCATTTTTGCAGACCGTTAAGGACTGATTGGGCATGTGTCTGTCATGAAGAGCAGCTGTGGTGTTCATCCAGCTCTGAAGACAATAGTTTATGTGGCCTTACAAAGCTTCTTCTGGTGCTCCTTAGTTGTGATTTTTATAACTGAAGATAGCAGAAACGTTGTGTAACCCTCAGCAACTGCAGAGTGGTCTTCTGAGAAGGCTTTAAAATGGGTGGGATGAAAAATGTCTGGGTTTAGTAGCGAGAAGTGTTCTTCACATTGTGGGACAAGTCGTCTTGTGTGAAAGGCTAGCTACAGTGTTCAGGGTATTCATGTGAGGTTCTGCAATGTGAGCAGCTTAAAAGGAAATCTCGCTGTGACAGGACACGGTTTTTATTGTGCCATTTTGACTATTTCCTTATTGATTTACCTAGCTGTTGGATTAAAAATACTGAATTCTGTGGTGGCCCTCTCTGTTGGAGAACTATCTTCTAGATTTGGATCCTGAATGGTTTCTTGGTCAAAACGTATGTATTTGTATTGCAAATATCAGAAAGAGTCCCATTGTAAATTGGGCTTGCATTTTGTTCTTAGGTCAAATGGGTTGTCACAGCAGCATTATGTACAGGAGCAGAGTCAGTCAGGCTGGCTGCTGTAATTCCTGTCCTACAGCCTTTTTGATCTACTGTGCAGACATTGAACGCTGTCGCACTATCACAACCACTACGTATTTGAGTGTAGAATATTATAAGAATACGGTTCTTGTTTTGAGAAGAAAACTCAGTCATAGCTAGGAGGAAATCAGGACTTTAATTTATATTTCAGCATAGACTCTGGGCTGGTGTTATTTTGAAGAACACTTTATTGGATACGCTGAAGATGTGAAGTTTATTTGGTTGTGTTTCTGTTGAGAGGCTTCTTGCAAGATGAATGGCCTAAAACCATTCTAAAAATACCGTTTTAACTGCCAGAATGAGTGCTTATTGGTCTTGATAGAAACTGACCCCAGGAGGAGATTATACCCCTAAATCTGAGGACTTAAATTTTTATACCACCCAGTAGTGAGAATGACTTACCCTTCCTAAATCTTTTAAAGCTTTTAGTAAGTATGGAGAAATATGTTAGATGCTAATTTGCTCTACGTGGTATATTACTTCCTTGTGCTAGTGTTGCTTGAAATTTGCAGGCTATAGTCAAAAATCATGTTTTAATGCCTGTTAATGAGTTTTGTCTTTACAAAACCTTTTGTTTTCTTTTTTTTCTGTTTGTTCCTAAGGATTATCTTTGCTTTCCTGGGTTGTTTCCAGCTTTCAAACCACATTTATTTCATTGTGTGATCAATTGTATATGACAATGGAAGTTATACAGAAGCAGCAGTTCTCATAGACATTGGCTTATATGTGGATTGGCTGGACTCGTTTTGATTGTGAAGCTGGTGAAGATAACATCCTTTGGAATTTTGTCAGTTTGTACAAGAGATCACCAGAGCTTGTGGATTTCTTTAGAATCTTGGGTAGAGTGTTTCAAGTTCAGTGGATAAATGGAGGACCAGAAATAAACAAAACAAAGCTTATGCAAATAATAACAACACCTTTATAATATTCAGCCTGGTTTTGGAGGATTAGAGGGATTGTGCTTTACTTATACAAGGAAAGTAATATTTCAGCAACCAAGACAGATTTATTTTAGATCAAAAAATACTTTTAAATCCAAGTCCAGAAAATAGCTGAGAAGGTGATATGCTTACTTCACAATATAAAATTATTTTGATTTAAGCTCTGTAATTAGTGTAACCATTTCTTATTACTGATGTTAACAGCTTGTAAGCATCATCTGTATTCTGAAGTTATTTTTTGGTTATGCTGCTCATTTAGGTGTCTGTGTGGAAAAGTGAAAGTGGTGGAAGCAATTTCTTCAGTAGCTGTTATACCACTTTGCTTTCACAGTAGTGCAGCCATTGCGGTCAGCTACCTTTTTTCCTTGATTGTTGCATTTTTGTCCACATCTAAACTAATTATTTTAGTAGAGTTAACTGTAAATGTGAAACCTTTTCACAGATGTAAAATACAAATCAAGGAGTAATAATTCCTCATTGTCATAAACAAAAATGACAGTATTTATAAAACCAATGTAGTATACTTTAGTTTTATTGCAGCTAGAACAGTATGTGTGTGAAATGAATTATAGATGATTATTGCAGGATGAATGTTACAAAAGTGAGAAGTCAAGGTAGTTAATCCATGGAAACCATCATTTCCTGTAGTTAATTACATGACTATAATTCAAATGTTAAACATTTGTCTAAATTACTTTTATATGGGAATCTCAAAACTGTTCTGAATAATTGTTATGATCTAAAACTGAAGAGCAAATAAAACAATTTCTAGACTGACTTTATTCTGAATACGGTCGATGTTTACAAGTATTCTTTCACTGTAATCTACCCATCTTTATGAAGGCCTGTTTTGAAATTTTCTTATATTAAAATACATTTTCAAGGCAATTTTATTATGTCAGGCCAAAATACTCTTTTGTTCAAAATGAGTCCAAACTCTGATTATAGCTTTGGACACCTTCCAAAGTTTTTTACTCAAAATGGTGTTCTTTTTCTTCAACTGGAGGGTGCTAGTTTGCTCACTTTTTGAATGATAATCTTTTCTTTAACTTCCAAAACACCAGCCTGTAAGACAAACAGTCTTTGGGACTGTTTGTAGCAGGTTTTCACTTGAATGGCAGGTTTGATATAGTATCCTGGCACTTAAACTATATTAAATATAAGTTAACTCTAATTGACAAAGATAAACATTTGTACCTACGTCTGGATTTTATTTGCTGCAACCAGTTTCATTTTTCACAGTTGCTCTTGGAGATACTGTTGTATATAATTAGGCTGCTGCAATGCAGGCTTTGCAAAATCTGTAAATTTGCCAGAATTAAGGAGGATTAAGACTGTTTTCCAATTGATATAAACTGTGAAGGTGAATTAACCACTCCCCTTACACTGACATGAGATTTCTGTTGTTAGTGGTTTTTTTCTATGATCTAGATGGAAAAATGAATGTAAAAAAAATTTTTCTTGTAGTGTTTCTACCAGTTCTCGGACTATGTCTCTGCTGTCACAGCTGGAGAAGATCAATTTGGACTCTGTATTAGGAGAAGCAGACAATGCCAGATATGTTACCTCAAAGATTCTTCATCTGGTTCAGAGTCAAGGTAAATATGTAAGTTTTGTGGTTGTAGTAGTTTAGAGTCGTCTTTCTTGTTTTTCTTTAATTTTTGTTTGTGTTTGGTAAACTTGAATATCCATTCCTTTTTGTCACTGATTGTTGAAAACACCTGTTTAAGGCAATGTTCAATGCTATCTAATACAGTATTGGTTACACTGAGTGCATTCTGTGTTGTCAAACAGCTATAATTTAAGTAATACTTCACAGTATATATATGTGTGTGAATATATATATATGAGAAGTAGAAGTATCTGGAAGAGAGCTTTCTTACAGTTTTTTTTCATTACAGTCCGTTGTCTAGGGCATGACAAGATTGTTGAACAAGTGAACGCAAAAATGAGTTAAAATCATTTAAGTCTTTTACTTAGTTTTGTATACATATATGCAGTTTTTAATAGGTTTTACGATTTGAAATGTAGATTTTCTAATCATTCTGCATACGATCGCTTTTTTTTTTTTTCTGCAAGCTAGTGTATTAAAAGAGAAATTGTATTTCTCTCACTGGCAGAAAAAACCAGGAAGGAGATGACTTCCAAGGGCTCCACTGGAATAGAAATTATCCTGTCAACTCTAGAGGTAAAACCTTTTAATCTGTGTGGTTATAGGTACAGAGAAAGTATTAATTTTATCATTGGGTTTTGTGTTATTAAAGCTAGTTGTCCTAGGTAGTCTCCAAAACTTGTGTAGGACTGTAATGAGATATGGTCTTTCTCTCCTTTATTTTTAAATATTCTAAGAAATTATTTGTCAACTGTCAGTTCTAACTAATATTCCATACTGCAAACTAGATTTTAATTGGCTTTATGGTGAATTCAGGCTGCATAGTGGGATGGTTAGGTGGGTAGTTACATCTTAAGCTCTGTTTGATGTAGTGGTGGCAATTTCTCCGAGCTTTGAGTAGCTAAACCACTGCATCGGACTTCTACATTAAGCAAAGAAATCTCTCTGTTTTTTATTGCAGAATACGAAAGATCCTCAAACTATTCTAAATATATTGAATATTCTCATTGAGATAGTCTCCGTTGGTAAGTTTTCATTAAAAAGCAATTTGTGATTATATTCCTATATTATTCTGTAGACTTTTGGGGTGGTTTTATGTTTGCTTGGGGTTCTTTTTGAGGTTTTTTTTTTTTTGTTTCTGATGTTTGCTAAAGGTGATTTATATGCAGAATAAAAAGAACCTAAAGACTGAAGTCACCTTTCAAATAATCATGCACAACTATTTTATGTTGCTATAAGTCTGAGTCCAGCATAGTGCAGTCACATATGAAGAAAATACTGCCATTCTGAAGACCTTCTTTATGGTAACTGTAGCTTGGATACTTAATTGTTCTTTGGCTTCGGAGATACTAGTTGAGTTTTAATTTCTAGGTGGTGGTCGGAGAGCAAGCGTCTTAGTCAGTAAAGGAGGGACACAGATCTTACTGCAGCTGCTTTTGACTGCCAGCAAAGACTCTCCACCAAATGAAGAATTAATGGTGCTTCTTCATACTCTGCTTGCAAAAATTGGTCCAAAAGGTGATAATGATTTACTTGAGTAATATGGCTTAATGCTTTACAGTTTTATAATTGAAACTTAAGAAAAAATTTCTTTCCGTTATTGTATAAGCATCCACATACTCAGAACTGGAGGAGAAAGAAAGAAGTAAAACAGGAGGGGAAAGAATGGTAAAAAGTAAATAGGCAGGATTGACATTATCAGTAGAAAGAATTCATGGTTCATTTAACTTCTGTTTTTTTATAATTTCAAAATTAATGTGATTGATCTTGTATTTCTTTTGATATCAGACAAAAAGATTGGCGTGAAAGCAAGAATTAATGGTGCCCTAAACATATCCTTGAATTTAGTGAAGCAGAATTTGCAGAACAACAGGCTAATAATGCCGTGTCTTCAAGTATTAAGAGTTTACTCAGCCAACTGTAAGTATTGCAGATAATTATTTTCTTTCCCATGTGAGGTAAAAAGTTATACCTAGGAACGGTTAAAATATTGGATCTAAATACTTGTTGAATGTTAGAAGTTTAAAATAATTTTTATTTGAGAACTTGCTTTTTATATCATCAAATTGCTAAATTTCTAATAAAAGCTGTGAAGCATGTTTGTACTTCTTGTATCACACAGTGTGTGTGGTTGTGTGTGTGGTTGTGTGTGTGGGTTTTAATCAGTGCTATTGGATGTGTGGAAGTTTGAGTCATCCAGTTTGGGTGAAGGCTGATGTTTTAAGATCTAAACCAGAAATGCTAACATTGTGCTTGCAAAATACTTCATATTAAAGAATTACTCTCTTTACTATACATGCTTATGATTTTTTTTGCTTTTTATTATTGTGTTTCATTCTTAATTGCTAATTTAAAACTTGATTCACACAGGAAATACTGTATTACTTTATTCAACTTTTCCCTTATTCCATATGTTGAAGTGACCTACGATTGGACTAATATTCTTCCACAAGAGCCTAGTTCATTATTTCAGCAGACAGTAGGAAGTTGATGAAAATTGTGTGGTTCTTGCTATATCTCTACTGTCGGATAGGTGCTCTAAAGTTTTTCCTGTGAGCTCAAAATAGTCATTAAACCTCTTAAAGAAGTGCAAGAAATTGAAAATATAACCACATTCCTCCAAGAGAATTGATTTGATGATCTGTAAGATTGTGTTTTCAGGACATTCACATGAGTACCTACAATTCGTAAAGTCCCAGTACTTTTGAAATGTGGGAGCTTTATTTCTGTTGAGCTGTCTGATAATGAGGTAAAATGGTTCTAAGTGGAAGAGTTTAATACGGATAGTTACATAGCTTAGCTGAAAACTGACTTCATCGTGAAAACGAGCAATTGAACTGAGTCTCTAATCTGAATTCTGCTTAGACCAATTTTATGTTTCTGTATTTCCCACTCCTTAAAAACAGAAGTAGTAGTTGTTCATTACATTCTGATGGGTAGTACTATTTAAAGCTTGTGTGCAATTGCTACCAGAATAGAGTCATAACTCTTCTTAGATACTAGTGGTGTAATATTGCTGCTAATGATGATGAAATTGCAGAATGGGTTCAAGTACTAAATTCTACACTAATAACAGCATTCGTTATGCTGAAGTAAATTCCTAATTGCTCTCTTCCTAGCTTATTAGGAGGGCATATTGCTAAGCTCAATCGGGATTTGAATTTCTGTTCCTGTTTCAGCGGTTTGTATTTTCAGTGGGTGCTGGACTTCAGCCATACATGCATCTAGTGTACATTTCTTGATTGTAGGTCTTAGCATAATTTCTTTTAATTTGCTCCCTTTCAAATAGATCATTTTTCTTTTTTTTTTTTTTTTTTTTGAGGACATATATGCATAACATGTAGCTCAGGAAAGCTTATACTGGTCAGTGTTTCTAAATTTTACAGCGAATGCTTGGCATTCACATCCTGGTGGACATACCTGTCTATCCTGATACTAAAGCATAATAGCAAGTCATAGAACTCCTTAGACTTGAAATTTTAGAAAGCGTGCTGTCTTGATAAACTGAGATTTATTTTGAAGAAAATAGTCTTTATGATGTATCTTAATACCAAAGATTGCAGAAGCATGCATTGGAAGTCGTACTTGAGTTTTATTCGTAAAGTAATAATAAAGTTTTTTCTTCTTTTCCAAGTTTTGTAAGGATTGGATTATATCACCAATTTTGTGCAGAGTAGTGTCTGCTTGTCATTTTATGTCTTAAAGCATGAACATGCCTAAAATTTTTTTGTACTTCAGAATTAACTCTCATGGATTTTAGTTTGAGTATATAAATTTTTTTTATTTTGCCTTTCTTATTACATTATCTTAAAATGGGTTGTTTTTATCTCTTCCAGCTGTAAATGCAGTGTCATTGGGAAAGAATGGAGTAGTAGAACTGATGTTTAAGATCATCGGCCCTTTCAGTAAAAAGAACACTAGCCTTATGAAGTAAGTAAGATCTCTTTAATATAGGATATGGAAAAGCCTTAGATACATTTCAAAACTTACTTGTAAATGAAAAATAATGTTAGAGAAATCGAATGTGACTCATATTTGAAAGTTAAAGTGAAGGGAGGTGGGAAGGAGAACCAAAAATCTAACAGTCTAACCTAGGAGAGTAACACAGAATATTTTAATGTCTAGTTACAGTACTGGTAAAAGAATATAAATGTTACTTTTGTCTCTAATATTCCTGCATAGAAACTATCCAGTGGTTATCCCAAAATCAGGACAAACAGATCAAGACAATTCCATCATTTTTCAGTTTGTTGAATTAGCTCCCCCATCTTTGTGTTTTTAGAGTGACAGTATCTATTTTGTTTTGTAACAGAATTTTTTTTCTGTTTTATTTCAAAGCAATTATGGACCCTCAGAGCAAAACCATCAAACTTAGAGTAGGAAGTACCAGCAGTACCTGTCTAGTGGGCTGTTGTGTTTTGTTCTGGTTTTTTTTGTTTTTTTTTTTTTTTAAAAAAGTCACTGCATACATTAAAGTGGTGACATTAGATTCCCCTCCCTACCCTCCCGTATTTTGCTGCTTTTTTTTTTTTTTAAAGTGACTTTAGGGTAAATACAGATAAGTGGATTTAACTGAAGATAGCCCCTTCTTTGTACACTACCAGCTTTTTGAAGCACGTGCCTTTGGAAGACTGGATTTTTCATCTAGTTAGCAAAATAGTAATCTCATGTTGTTCGTATTCTGACTTCAGTACCAAAAAAAAATAGTGTTATGTTATCTAAATCTGGTATTTGTGGTCACTGGAGTATCTTTTAAAAAAATACTCTGCCCCTTTAAGCCTCAGCTAAAATTAGACATGAACTTACTGTGCCATCATGTGAGTAATCATGATATCCTTGTTTAAGGTCTAAGATCAGACGCATGAAATCTATCTTTACAAAGAGGGTACAAATATGTATATATGTTTTCTAATTGTACGTCTTGACTTAATTGAGACAAGCTCTTTGTGTACACGAAAGGTCTTACACTGATGATCTTGTATTGTAGTACAAATTGATGAGCATCACTCCTCAATCTATTCATGCACTGCCTGTTTTGACTTACGGTTTTCTAAAATAGTGTTGTTTGCTTTGTGGAAGTACTTGTTCTGCTACTAGCATAGAAACCTGAGTTGTGAGACTATCTCATCCATGGAGTATGGTTCCTAAACGTTACGTTGTCTCTTACAGTGTTCTTTTGCAAAGACTGAAAATTTGTATAGCCAGTGCACTGATATTTAAATCTCACCATCAGACTTGAGATATAGCAAGGAGTTGCATGGTATTTTAATAAAATAAAATTTTAAAAGCAAAGTCTGTGATACAAGGCAACCAGGAAAATATGAGGTTAGATACTAAATAAATCTGTTAGCAGTAAACATTTTGTAGAGCTTTACAGTGTTGTAAATTAAGCTTACTGGTTGGTTGTTGTTTTGACTTTTCTTGTTATGTTGACAGGGTTGCTTTAGACACACTTGCTGCATTGCTAAAATCAAGTAAGTCTTTGAGTACAAGAAACTGTTTGTCTAGTTGAGATATATATGTGTTTGTGTATATATACACAGACTAAAACTAATATTAAGTCTGTGGCCAAAACAAAATCAAGGCGAGGAAATGAAGAAATAAGGCTACAGTTTTATGTGCAGTCTCTGGTACTTTAGTATTTGTGGTGTGTGTATATATATATGTTTAACAATTAGTTACTGTCTCTTCAGTTATGCAGCAGACAGGCTGCGCTGCTTCTGCAGAACTGGTCTGGATCCAAGGTGGAGAAATAGGCTTTTACAGTCACTCACCTCAGCCCTTCAGTAATACATAAATACAGCGTAACTCCTGTGCATCTTCTTTATACATACATCTGAAAGTATCTGGTGAATGGCACGGGAAAATATAGGGTTTTGTCAGGTACCTTTCTGAGTAATTAGGTCTTGAGTTCTAATGAGAAGTGTGTCAGTGATGCTCATGAAGTGGAACCAAGGGTAATGAAAGAATGGTCTGTTCCCAGACACGGGCTATCTCTGCTGGCAGCAGTGGACCCTGACAAATGTCGTCTCTGCAGGTGTTGCGCCAGGATTGTAACTGACAAGGAATTGCAAACTCATTCTCTCCAAACAATTGTATAAAAAATACAGTATTCCTAGTAGTTTTAGTGGAGTTGGCTAAGAACTGAGGCGTGATTAGACTTGCAGAAAACCATTTCAGACAAATGATGGGGAACTTCTGTACCAATTAAACAGGGTGCTGAGTTTTCTCATGTTTGATCGGTAGGATACCATCACAGACTCACAGAATGTTCAGGGTTGGAAGGGAGCTCTGTGAATCATCTGGTCCCACCACCCTGCCAAAGCAGGGTCACCTAGAGCAGGCTGCACAGGACCTCCTTCAGGCGGGTTTTGAATATCTCCAGAGAAGGAGACTCCACAACTCCTCTGGGCAGGCTGTTCCGGTGCTTTGTCACCCTAAGAGTAAAGAAGTTCTTCCTCATGTTCAGACGGAACTTCCTATGCTTCAGTTTGTGCCTGTTGCCCCTTGTCCTGTTGCTGGGCGCCACTGAAAAGAGTTTGCCCCATCCGCTTGACAGCCGCCAGTAAGATATTTGTAAGCATTTATAAGGTCCTCTCTCAGCCTTCTCTTCTTCAAACTAAACAAGCCCAGCTCCCTCAGCCTTTCGTCGTAGGAGAAATGCTTCAGTCACCTAGTCATCTTCATAGCCCTCCGCTGGACTGTCTCCAGTAGTTCCTTGTCTTTCGTGAACTAGGGAGCCCAGAACTGGACACAGTACTCCAGATGGGGCCTCACTAGGTCAGAGTAGAGAGGGAGAAGAACCTCCCTCGACCTGCTGGCCACACTCTTCTTAATGCACCCCAGGAGCCCATTGACCTTCTTGGCAACCAGGACACACTGCTGGCTCATGGTTAACCTGTCGTCCACCAGGACACCCAGGTCCCTCTCCACAGAGCTGCTCTCCAGCAGGTCCGCCCTGAGCCTGTACTGGTGCATTGTGTTGTTGCTCCCCAGGTGCAGGACCCTGCATTTTCCCTTGTTGAACTTCATCAGGTTCCTCTGCGCCGAATTCTCCAGCCTGTCCAGGTCTCACTGAATGGCAGCACAGACTTCTGGTGTATCCATCACTCTTCCCAGTTTTGTGTCATCAGCAAACTTTGTGGGGATACGCTCTGTCCCTTCATCCAGGTCATTGATGATGATGATTGATGATACCTTGGTCTTACAGATTTGTGTATTTACTAATTTTGGAATTTCTCCTTCGGAAATTTACGAAAAGAAATATTTCAGAGTTATTGACAGTGTTCTGTTCTGTAAATTAGCAGTTAAACTTTAATGTTGAGGGAACAGATGTTGAAAAGGTGTGTCTTTAAAACAGGAGGTCTTGTGCATTTAGTTGGAGATGCCTTATTCAGTCTTGAGTGGTTTTGACATTGTAACTTCCTACACTTTATATAAATCTTTTCATAAAAACACTAATCTCTGCTGTGTAGAGTCCAGTTGTCATACTGATTACTCAGTATTTGGGGCAGAGGTATTTTGAGTTTATGAAGTTTGAGTGATAGTTGCTGCAGAACTGTATGGATTACAAGCACTAAGAAGTTTATTTCAAATCTTGTATCTACGCAGTGTGTGTGGATAGAGATAAATATACTTTATATAAACACTTTTTTTTCCCAATTTGCAATCTGACAGTATCTTACTGTTACCTGTAAGTGTAATGCATGCTGTTCTGGTAAATAATGAAAATTACATGCAATGTTATTCTGAAGAATGAAGCGTAGATTACTGGCCTCAGTCATTTCTGTTTAGGTTGATGTAAAACTCTGCTGAATGTGGCTAAAATACTACTTTAAATGAAACAATTCAGTTACTTGGGTAAAAAGAATAATTCTAACATTGATTTGAAAGTAATGTTGAAATAATTGGGCAATTTTTAAATTTTCTTTCCTAACTTTTTTTTTATTAAGGAACAAATGCCAGGAGAGCGGTAGACAGAGGATATGTGCAGGTGCTTTTAACGATTTATGTTGATTGGCACCGTAATGATAGTCGACACAGGTACATGCTGATACGTAAAGGAGTTTTACAGTGCATTAAAAGTGTTACAAACATCAAATTGGGAAGAAAAGCATTCATTGATGCCAATGGGATGAAAATTCTTTACAACACTTCACAAGTAAGTTTATCTCAGTTGTTTTTTTGTTAGTGGTTTTTTTTGCCTCTTTGGCTTTAAAAACACGTCCAGACCTCAAATTTGTCATATTTCTTTTATGATATTTGTGGTCATTTCTGATCATGCTGGTAAGGATTATTTTCTGTATTTGACTAAAGCGGAATGAAGGAGTACAGAATTAAATTAATATTTGCTGTTATTTGACTGTGACTATCTCGGGGAGGGGCTGTTGAATTTAATTTTAAAAAAGGAGGGGGAAGTCTTTTAATTTTCGAGTTTAGGTTTTTGAAAAGGGTGAATTTGAGTGGTAAAGTTCTTGTGGCCTTCCATGGAGACATTAGCAAAATTTATTTTAAACACAATACATTGTCATTAGTGAATTCTAGAAATCTGTAAAACAAATCTCCTTTGACTATTCATTTAAGAGATACTTTCTTCTTGTCTTCATTATTTTCCTGTTAATAGGAGTGCCTTGCGGTAAGAACTCTTGATCCCCTTGTCAACACATCCAGCCTAATAATGAGAAAATGTTTTCCTAAAAATCGTCTTCCTTTACCAACTATTAAAAGTGCTTTTCACTTCCAACTCCCAGTTATTCCTGCCAGTGGTCCTGTGGCTCAGCTGTACAATTTGCCTCCTGATGGTATGGTAATTTTGTAATATTTTGTCTTTGAGTATGTCTAACATTGCTTTATGTAAGGTGGAATCAATTGCAGTTATTTCTGTTCTCCACTAAAACTTGCACTCTGAGACTCTTTTCAGCTAGCAAAGAGTCTGTGACTGTTGGTGTGGAGCACCAGTTTGTAGTGTTAGGTCTTAACTGATGAAAATTCTGTCGGCACATATGTGGTTATGTTTCTGAGATATTAAAAAAAAACCCCAGGAACTAAAATGTGATGTTCATCAAACTCCGAAGTGTAAAGCATAAACCATACATACTAGTCTACAATGGGCTCTCTTTTTAACTCACTTATCATATACATTCTCCTATGTGAAATGTAGTGTAGTGTACAGCCTGTTTTACAGGAATGTATATGCCTTGATTTCTTTCTCTTACTCTGATAAGCTGGATGTAGTGAATTTAGATTAACACACTCCATTTGAAGCATTGTTTTTTGAATTACTGTGCTTATTCCTTCATTTGCGTGATGGGATAAGTAGAGCTGTTTTCTTGGATTGTTGCAGTCACTTAGGCAACACTTCTCTGCAAAGCATATGTATGGTGCCTTACGAGAAATGGATTTATCCAATTGTGAACACCTTTCATTATTTTGGGGTAATTAATGCATTTTCAGGTATGATGAAACAGCTTGGTACCTGGGTAAGCAACTCATGAAGTTGCTGTCAGATATTTACTCTAAAATGAAGATGCAAAATCAGACTTCTTAATATCTTCTTATTCACAGTATCTCCTGAAATAAAATGCAATCACAGTTGGGTTCATATGAGTCAGAATGAAACTGCAGGAGCTTCGAGTTTGTTTATGTTTTGTCTTCAAAGTAGAAAATAGATTTAGAAGTGTGTTCCAAAATCCACAGAAATTAAACCTCTACATAGTATAGTATTTTTGGTATTTGTATGTGGCATAATATCCATTTGGAAACTTCTATTGTGTTGAAGTAGACCACTGACAGGTTTTTTTATCTATTAAAAAAAGAAGTGAAAAACCTGAGGAAATAGGACACGTAGGATATTATTTTTAAAGAAAAACTTCTGTATTAAAAGACACGTAGAATGTTGGGCTGGGTATTATAAGTGTAATCTTATATAGTCAGCATTGTAAAAGCAATAAATGTAGTCATTCTGAATACACTAGAAAATCAGTATAATTTGTGAGCCCCTTACT